CATTCAAGGTCGAGGCGCCTTCACCTTGTCTAGACAACATACCATCACAAACAGCTATCGTGCAAAGATAAGGCGGCATCGGCGAGACAGCTTCCTTACGGCTTTCACTGCTACGCGTCATGATCAGCCATTAGCCCGCAGATGCCTCAGCAGCAAACACACTTTAAACAGGCAATCTGATTAGGAGACCGCAGCAGACGCGCCACTGGTGTCGGCTGCGAGCCATGCATTGTAAATTCTCCAGCCAAACACAAGGCGAGTCACGTGGACTCTAGCCCGGAAGACGAGGCGGACCAACGGCACCCAGTTTGGTCGTCAGTGGCTTCATTTCCCGCTGCCAAGTCAACTTCTGTCTACCTCTAGTCTTGCGCCACCCTACACCTGGTAGACAAAACAAGGCCCTCCTAGGTAAGCGGTGACCAGGCATATGTAGCACGTGCCCGAGCCAACGCAACTTATTCAGTGCTATCTGTAGTTGCAGGGAGCTAGTATGATTTTCACCACCTAATACTCGCCTACGCAAATCATCGTTCCGGACACGCTGGTGCCATCCGACACCAGCGATGCTTCGCGGACAACGATGATCAAAGACTTGTGGGCGCTTCAGATCTTCAGACCGAAGGGGCCAAGTCTCACTACCATACAGCAGAACAGCCCTCACTGTGGCCTTGTATATCCGGCCTTACAGATGAAGGGAAAGTTCCTTCTGTCGGAAAAGATGCCGCAGGTTCAATAAGGTAGCTCTGGCCTTTGCAATGCGTGAGCTGACGTCAGTTTCTATGAGTCCATCGTTGCTGATGCAGCCGCTAAGAGAAGTGAAATGATCAACCACCTCGAATGCCTCGTTAGCAAGCGTCAAAAGGTCATCAAAAGGCTGGTGGTCCTGCAGCAACACTTTGAAGGTGCGAAGTGCATACCAAATAATGGGTCCACTCTAGACAGGCTATTCAGGGGTGATTTTGCCGCCCTAACATCGTCGAAAAGCAAGACGATATCCTCCGCATAATCAAGACCATCTAGCCTTTCACCAGGAAACACTTCAACGCCTACATCATGAGATTCCACAAGGGAACACTCCATGATAGAATTCACGACGAAATTGAACAAATATGGGGAAATCGGACAACCCTGACGAACGTCACTTGTGGTCGGAAAGCTATCCGATAGGCCACTGTAGACCCTGACGCGGCCTGTAGTGTTCGAGTATAGAGTACGTGGAAGTTCACATATTTCGTGGGAACACTTTTCGCGCAAGTACTTCGCACAGAATGCATCGATCGCCTGAATCGACGCACACTTGAAATCAAGGAACACAACTATCGTCGGTCTGCGGTATGCGTGGCGCTGCTCTAGCACCTGCCACAAAGTGAATATATGGTCTATACAGCCACGCCCTGGATGGAAACCGGCCTGCTCTCCCCTAATCCGAGATTCCCGTTCCACAGTGGGGCGGCGAAAGAGAATCAATGCCAGCAATTTTGTCACAACTGGCGTTAGGCTAATACCGCTGTGGCTAGAACACTCTGTGCGACTTCCCTTCTTGTATATTGCCACTATCATTGATTCGTTCCAATCAGCCGGGACACTTTTCATTCCAGATACATTCGAATAGAGAGGTCAGTGCTTTGCAGAGGACCTCATCTCCATGCTTAAATAATGCAGGTGGGAGTGAATCCGTACCGGCGGCAAGAAAACGATTGATGGCTGTGATCGCATTTTGGACCTCGGCATCCGACGGAACCTCGAGACTAACCGTAAATGGCTCGTCCTGCATCACCTGAGTAGGAAGAGGTCCGGGATCAGGGGGCCACCTGAACTGATTTTGAAAGTGTTCCGCCCAACTAGCCATGCGGCGCTCCTTATTGTCAATCAGTGCACCCACGCTGTCTCTGTCTCACTAACGCCTGGCTTCCTGGGACCAGTGATGCGGATTAGCTGAAAGAGCTCGCGAGAATTTCCGACTGCTCTTGCCTCATCCAATTTTTGAGCCCGACTGGTCCATCAGGCTTCCTTGTCAGCATGTAAGCTCCGCTTTAGTTCGCGCCTAATAGCCCGTCTGGTCACATCGTGCTCAATCCCAGCCGGGAGAGTTCTTCTAGATTTCAACAGGTTCACCGATCTTTCGGATCTCCAGTGACTGGTGGGGTGACGATGGATATTGTCACAAGCAGATGTTCTTGTGTCGTGCATGGCGGTCGAGATCCTATTCCACTGAAGCTCGGTGTCATTAGAACAAGACAGCGAAAGTTCGGTATGCAGGGCGTCTTGATAGGCTTGCCTGACCGAGGGTTAAAACAATTTCTCCGTTGCCAATCGGAGGGGATGCTTGGTGCGCCTTCCGATGAAGTTCATGGAGGAACGACAGCGTACCAAGGCATGATCAGAGTCGACGCAGGTATTCCAGTACGAGCGGCCATCCAGTATGGAATCACGTTAAGTGGTCAATTTGGGTCCATCGCTGGCCAGCTACAGGAGAACGCCAAGTGGCACTTCGGCGCCCATTGTGTCTAAAAGCAGTGCTAGTAAGAAACAAATGGTGCTCCGCACACACTTGTAGCTGACGCTTGTCGTTGTCAGTCCGTTCGGAGCTAAGCCCATAATTGCCACCCAGCTGAGCTTCTGAAGAGCTCAGACGCCCTACTTATGCGTTCATATCCCCTGCAAGTACTATAATATCTGAACTAGTAGCACTGTGTAATAGCGCGTTCAGTTCGTGATAGAATGTGTTCTTGACATCCGAACTGCAGTCGGTGGGAGCATAAGCGGAAACTACAAACAAGCAGCGTTTGGTACTAATTCGTGAACCAACCTTAGCTGATGTCGTGAAACGAGCTGCACATAAACGGCTGTTCACCGGAATCCAATCAACCAAAGATGGCTCAGCCTTAGAGATTAGAATGATACCTACACCAGCTTGACCCGTGAGTGCTACATCGGCGTCTCCGGATGCGTGCAACCAATAAGGTGAGGATAAGCCGGGTGCAGTTAATTCAACAATCCCGTTATGGTCATTGATTTTAGTTTCGGAGACACAGCACACATCAATACCCAGGGTGTCCAAGGTGCGTGCGAGTGCAGCGTGTTGACCTATTTGCCTTAGAGTGCGAACGTTAAACGCCGCCACGGAAACGGGACAGTGTGGCCTTATAGGTACTGTTGCTGATAAAAGTCCGGTGCGTGTCGTGAGGTGGCTGCAGATGGTTCTACTTTAGTGGCACTTCGGTTGCTGTCAGGTAAGCTAGGAATTATAGAAGGAAGGTTAGTAATGGGGGCCGGGATGGGAGTAAGAGAAACAGGTGGAAAAGAAAGAAGGGAGGCGCCAACAATAGCATGTTTTCGCTTATCCGCCCTGCTGTGTGCAGCAGATAAGGCGACCTTTGATAAGCTGCGTGACGGCCAATGCAGGATGAAGTTTATGTTTGAAGAAAAAGTCATGGTTGTATGTGGGCCGGGATACTGCCAGGGCGCCCAGATCCAGACGGGAAGACGATGAGGGTCCTCATCCAAAACCTTTCGCTCAAAAGCCTGTCCGCAAGGCGACGGAGAGGTGGTAATGATTTAATTTACAGAAATTTACGATCTCCAATTTCAAACCCTTAACCTGATGACTGAGTTTGTCTTACCTCTCACCAGTGACCAACCTGGTAGGTGTATCAAGATGCCAGGAGGCACCACCCAGTATAGCTCAATGGGTCAAGAAGATCCGCAAACCGTCGCAACACGTTAAGGTTCAGTAACGTTGCGACGAGCGTTAGGCAGTCGAAAAGCCATAGGCAAGGATGGAGTGCACAGCACTTGCCATCAGCGACAGCTAGAAAGCGTTCTTGGCTGTCCAGAGGTAAATGGGACACAAGACACTCAGCGCCTTTCTCTTACGTGCCAAGGTTGAGTGGAAAACGCCAATTCGGTAGGCAGTAAATTATTAGGGAGCATCAAATTGTAGAACACAATCACTCATGATTTAGAGGCAAACCGTACAAGATGAGTTAATCACGCAATAGAGGTAGTGTAACCCCCAATACTTCAGGTTATAAGTTTCTCACCAGTTTGATATCGCAGCATACAACAAAGTCTAAATGAAGAAATTTAAAGGTCAGTGTCAGGTTTTGTAGAATGTAAAGTTAAGAAAGAAGCTCGTCAAAATTCCACGGTCATACTTCTTAACTTCCTCTCGTGTCAAACGTCCTTCAAGCAAGTCGGTAATCGAGGGCGGAATAATGGCGGCGATACCAACCACGGCTTAAAAAGGAACTGTGAGTGCAGAACACTACCAAACTCTTTGCTAAGATCACTGAATAAGTCCACGTGGTTGCCAATACCAAGTGTTGCTGTTTACTTTTCCTTATCAACAAGCAGTTGTCTCCTGAAGGTCATGCTTATCAAGAGAGAATCGAGGTAAAGATGACGATGTCGCTTAAGAATCCTTTTCGTTAACTTGTAGACCGTCAGGCAGGTAACTGGATCTTGACGTACGCACTTTACGAATAGACCTTCAAAGCCCTGCCTTCAAATCAAGTGGGAAATTCAGCCTGAGAGCTCTGAAATAATTGTCAGACGCACAGTGATGTAGCAAAATGAGCATTTCATTATTTGGGATATTGAGAGCAAGAGAGAGTGCCCTTGTCAACTCATCGGTCGTGGATCATTACAAGGTGAAAGAATGTCGTCGAAAAATTTCATGGAAGACCATCACCTTTAAAGTAAGAGCAGCAGGACCCTGCCGTGTTCATTAGTTGGGTCCAACAATCGCTCGAAACTTTCCTGTCTGCGAATCATCATTCTGAGCAAAACGGGACACAATCCAGTCCCGCCTGAAGTTGAACATATATTACCATTCGGATATACTCCAGATTTGCTTAGGAACACTATCGTCCGAGATGGGAGAAACGATCATAATGTAAACGGTAAGCTAAAAGCGTTACCACTGCAGTCAGGAAGTCCAAACATGACCGTAGGAAATAGTCACATCGACGTTAGAAAAGCGCAAAACACCGACTTACCAGAGGGTGACAACGCATGGTGTCATGGGGTTGTGCGAGTGAGTTGGTCGAGATAAGCCAAAGTCCGCTGCGTAGAGTAAGAAAATAAAAGAAACAAAACGTACCGATTTTAACAAGCCCCTTATCAGTCATTAGTAAATTAGAAACCTTAAGATCGCGATGAATAATAAAGTTCTCGTGGAGGTACCGAAGACCTTTGAACAACTGCAACATTATACACTTTACTTGTGACTCTGTGAACGGATTGGGCATATTGTCCAAAAGGCTCGCCATATCTTGTTCGCAGTATTCCATCACAAGAAAGATACTGCAGCAAAGGAAGTTCATAATTGGGTGGAACTAACCTATCTAATCCACGGCCTACTACTACTTCGCGTAAGTGCACAATGTTGACGTGCTTGAGGCTAAGTAGAAGTGTAATCTCCCTCAGACTACTAATGGGAATTCCATCTCGGACATTCTCCATGCGAACTTTCTTCAAAGCCACCACTTCCTTTGAAACGGTATCCCGTGCACGATCTGAAATATGGAGGAAGCGTAAACTTACATACGATCCCATATGTACCCTCGCCAATTCTATTCAGCTTTTCAAACTCTGCAACACTTCTACATCTGCCTTCCTGAGAAGGTATAAGGCTGAACAATAACAAACCCTATATTCTTGAGGTATTTTGAAGGTCGACAGTCTCCTAATACTGAAAATCCGAAAGTCACGCGACTCGGAATCGGGTTCGTGCATGGAAGATCGTAGTTGGGTTCCGTCCGTCTCACGGTAAGCCAACGCAAGGGGGACTGATGGGGTTGCTGGGCACAGCTACGTCCAGGTCAGGTCAGGTCAGGTCAAATGGATGATAATAGCTTTCGCCTAACGACCGTCCAGTTTCTTGTGCCAAAAAATGAAGCGGCCCTCAGCATTTCGACGTTTTATTGACTTGCTTCTGCAAAGGAATGCAGCAAGAACTAGAGCAATCCATGCAATTATTGATGTACCATTGCGTACATTAGTTTATAGAGGACGGCAGTCCTGCGTTATCTCAGTCGGCTTTTGATCATCATCGAGCACAAATGACCCAATTTTCTAATTATTTACTGTGTTTCACTCCTGTTGTAGCACATTGGATTAATTCAGTGATGAAACCTTTGCATCCCAATCACGAAGCTTGGCGGACAAGTGAAGTGAGGAACTATTTGCTCATCTTTACCGTCATTTACTGTCGTTTGTGTTGCATCTCAGGTATGCTTCTTCCACATGCATTTGATTAGCGTAAAAGATATTTCTTTTATTGAAATTTTGGAAAGCAATAAACCACGACCATAATTCAAGGTTACTGCTTGCTTCTGGTGTTTACTCGTAGTTCAAGTACAAGTTCAAGTGGGACTGAAACAGCAGGACGAATCCCCGTGAATGTTCCTTCCGTGGCGCGTCGTCGATCCAAGGTATTATTTGTCCGCGATAACTGGAATCCAGAAGAGTCAGCTCAGCGCCGTCCAATCACACCACCATCGACCACTTAATACCCACGCGACTTGCATCGGCAGTCCCCGCCGCACCGGTCACGTACAATAAGAAACTGAAGTACGAGGGTAACAAAAGCGTCGAGAAGCAACGTGTAATAGATTTAATAATTCAATAAGGCGAATAAGCTGGTACGTGAAGGAGAATGTTAGGGATTGAAGGCCAAAAGCGTCGGGTCGGTTTTCGAACTCTTTCACGGTTGGTGCCAATACCACGTTCGCAGACAATGCATTCCAGGATCCTACCACTGCGCGATAAACGAAGTCCGATCGGACTACAGCCGATCGAGGTTTGTGTAGCTTCATCGCGTGACTGCGGAGCTCTGGAAGCCAAGCCGGTTGTAAAAGCTTAGAGTCATCGGTTCCGCTTTTACCGGTAAGTATGCGATACGTCAAGACTACGTCGGCTCGATTGGGACGATAAGGCATTGCGAACATTCCCAGCTCATTTAATCTTTCGGGTAGAGAATGGTTCCGTAGTGCATGAACCATTTTGCTTCCAATTCTCAACACTCTCAACTGACATCTTGTCCCTTAGTAAGCAAGGTTGACAAGCCTGGATGCAGTATTCCAAGTGTGGCCTGATAAATGCTGAGAATAACCTGACAACCATAGCGCCCTTGATGGTCCTGAATGCCCTACGCGTGATCCACCACATTCTGAAACTTTGCATGTAGCTTTTCTCCAGTTCTCACTGGATTCAAGTTTTGAAGACAACGTGATCCCTAGGTCTACCAATTGGGAAACGTGGTGTAGTTGATTATTGTCAAGCAAATATCGCGTTTGGGGGCCAGTTGGGCCTAATCATAAGATGGAACCCTTTGCATAATTTATGGGCAGCTGCCACAGAGCAGCCCAATCCCAAAGTTTATCGAGGGCCCGTAGCAGCATCTTATCCTGTAATCCTTGTTTGGGAACAATGGTTGAATAAACAAAACAGAAAATTTGACCGTTTTCCGGCTTTTGTGTTTTATGGGTGCTGAGATATCTTAACTTATCCGTAATCTCTTCTGTATGTCTTGTGTCACGACGTGCTTGCAGTGTTTCCTCGTTCAGGCTTTATTTCTCGGAAGCTTTCTGTTGAATCAGTGTTGAATAATAAAGGACCGAATATTTAACCGTCAGTTTTCTTGTGAGTCTAACCGACCTGTAGGTGCCCAGTATATCACCGTGGGAAGACCATATGAGCTTAATGTAACCTGCTCCTTGCACGGACCTTGTGTATATCACGCTGGTCTCCCAAGTGAGAAAGCGAAAATTTGTGGCTTTTCATTGCAAGTAGCCACTTGTCACAGCTTGATTTGTCAACATTACAATTCGTTATCCACGGTATTTGCTGAGCCTACTCTCGTCGATTGTCCGATCGATTTCCGCTAGTCGGTTAACAATTACCCTGCCCATTCATTGGTCTGTACGTTTCCCTTCTTCCTTTTCTTTGTATTGTACAAATGGCGAGAATAAATCGCTTTGTTGATTCATCCAACCCGGCAGTGCCATACGGTAAGTTGTGGTGCCTAGTGTTTGTCACGGTCTCATTGGCTGATATGCTGTGCGATATATGTCGTAGCTGGTTCTATGAGCCCTGCATTGGGTTACTTCCTTAACAATACATGCTGGTGGCATCGCACGCAAGCGTGCTTTATAGATGCTCCCACTGTATGGACAGAAAGCTTCTGTGTCCGTGAGCAGTAAGCAAATTCGTAAAACCGGGTTCTAAGTAAGATAACCTAGAAAAACTATTGCCTATTTTGACTACTTGAGATCAGAAGTCGAAAAACATACAGCTAACTTCAAGCTCTTGCGACCTTGCGGTCAAGTGACTATTGCAGCTTTCTGTAATTCAGCAAGCTCATTCAGTTCTGCACTTAAAACAGCTACTATACTGCCTCCTGCCGTTTGTGCTGACCTATATGTTAGTGGCTTTGTCCCTGCCCTTAGTAAAGTAGGAGTGCATACCCCTTCATCTACCTAAAGCAGGCGAATGAAGCTTATACACTCGCACCGTCTTCACTTGAATACAGTCCAATGGTGGATACGTAGTCAGTTCCTTTGACTGCAACACCCAATGGTTTGCAGCCTCCGACCTAGAGTTTTGAATCCACAGTTCCTTCAAATCTTACTACTGGCGTGCGCCCATCTTTCGGTGACCCGAGCAGTAAATACTTCTCTTCGCGGTGACTAAGATATCGATTGTAGTCCATATATATTGGGGCGTAGTTGAGCCCACTGCTGTCTTCCAATGCAGCGTACCATGGACGACCGCCAATTTTGTAGACTGTGTTTCTATATTACTGTATCCCTGGTCCTCGGGATAACTGTGAGAAAACTCACTAGCCTTGGTGGCGTAGGTTCTGACGAGCTGAGCTTTTACCTGGTCTTTTGCGAGGGATTCGTTCATCTTCAGATCAGCGCCGGGCACACCTGCTGTTTACTTCCAAACTCAAGGTTGCGGAGTCAGCATGCAGCCAATCCTTCCTCGGGTTGACAGGGTGAAGATGAATGAGGCTTACAAAAACCTGCAGGTGTGCCGTGACGCTGGGGAGAAAGGTCTTCAGTTGAGCTGCTTCCGGGGGCTAGACGACGGCCCACCAGTATTCTTCAAGAACACGTTCTGGCGGTGCACGGTCTTGAACACACTACAATGCTAACCTTCAACTAGTCCTCAGTATCGTGCTCAGCTTGCGGAACAAGCTGTGCGGGGTGCGCGCACTTGGGGACCACTCTCGAGTTGACATCCTTATATTCACCGAAACGGGGTTGCCATCCGACGTTATGGACAGTGATGTAGGCGTACTAGGCTAGGCATTACTGCCAGCTGACGGAGCATTCAACCTTTGAGGTGGAGGCGGGGCTCTCCACTTGCAAGCTAACTTACATGTTTTAAGTAGTGCACGTGTCACTCATCCTTGAGGCTACAGAAGCCCTTTCGGTTAAATTGCGTAGCCCCAAGCATCTAAGCATTGAGTTTGTGTGCAGGGCTGCAGGCGGCACTTCGATTTGGCGCATTGACTTCATTCGCGGACAGTCAACTACCGGGTGCCTAAGTTTTTGTGATTTTACCCTCCGGGTGACAGACGGCATGACCTCCTCATATCAACCTGACGCGGTACTGACCGTTGCTCTTTTCAACCTAATGTTGCAATCATTCTTACACCAGTTGGTTGATAGGCACACCGGGTTCAATTGAAGTCAAGCCCCGTCCCTACTATACCCAATCTTCGCTAAGCCCGTAGATGTTGTAAACAAACGTACTTAAGAACCGCCTCTGGGAGCTAGCAATCACGGTTGTTGGTCATTTAAGGGTGCCCACTCCAGTGCCTACGCTGTGAAACATACCTACTCCTAACATATGGTGAGCGGATTGCCCCGCGATCGAAGGTAACCTGGCAACTACGCCATGCTTCATCTCGGCCGATGGTGAGTTGCAGACGGTTTATGATTTCATCAAGTTGTATCAGTCTTAGGTGTCTCTACCGCACTTACCCATTCTGGGAGGAAGGCTAGAGTGACGAAGCCACCATGCCTTGCTTCATTTGCTACTCGACTGAGGAACAGGCGGACCAAGTGCTGGCGGGCGTATAACACGGCTCCTTCAGAGAGCGCTTTCCGTCGCTGACAAGAAACACGGAATGCCTGCAAACAACATCTGCGTGCCACTCAACTAGGGTATGGAATGGAATTGCTTGACGTGGCTTTGGCAAATCCAACTCGCTTCTTCACCTATATCAAGAGGAAGACTAAAGCAGATTCACTCCTTCCAGTCTTGGTTGGTGCCGAAGACGGTGCTGCAGAAACGCATCCCACCACGGCCTGTCTGCCTACAGAACCGTATAGGCGGGTACTTGTTATAGTATTAGGAAAGCCGCCAATGGGTTTGGAGAGCAAAGGGCCTGCTGACCCTCTGCTAACGGATATTTCCGTTACAAGGACTCAGATACTCCTGTTACCATGTTAACTCTATCCTACCAGAGTGTTTGGGAGGCTGCTTCTCACCACAAGTTGTTGTATGAACTCCTAGCCAAGCAACGGGTGCTTAGCACGTGCTTATTTGAAGAGTCCCTTCTCTATTACTCCTTACCTATTAACTGGAAGAAAGCAACAGTATGCCTCACTGTAACGATTGTGGCTAACACCTACCTGAGCACTACAGACACAACAGTTTGACTAGTGCGCTAGTGAAGTTACTGGGAACCCAGTAGAAGAGGTTCGACGTGCTAGGTGCATAACAGCAAGGATTTCGTAGAGCTTTTATCCCC